AATTTGTCTTTCCACCCCAGCTTAAGAAGAAGTCATTGGGTGATGTTCTCAGCTGTTTACCAGACTCTTGGTTCACAGGAACAGGAGAAGGCAGATAAACAATGAAGCAATCCTCGAGGACAGTCATGAAAACCATGCTTATCTCTTTACAATGACTCAAACCTTAACCTTTTAAGCTTACATGCTACTTTACATACCTTGGCCGCAATGTTTCATGTGCAGGTTTGAATGTATAAAAAAGGACATTATTTGAATGAGTGCATTGATTCATGTAGGTCTGGGCAATAAATCAGTATATAACGTTTTAGACACCGCATCAATGTCAGTAGAAAAAACATCCAATAAAACTTTTACCAATGTCATTAAACTTGGATTCAGATACACTTTGTATTTGTGGGGATATGGGCAGAGGAAAGGTTTAAGAGTTTCAACCTGTCATCTCCAAACTTAGCAAGTTAGGTAGTTAGGCTAATACATTTTTAAAGATTATGTCAAAATAGGTTTAGGGTTGCATTTTTATATTCCAACTTTTTTTTTAGCCGTATAGAGCAGTCATAACTTTTGCACTGCAGCAGCCTTGAAATCTTGCTTCTAACATGCCTCATACAAACAATCACTCTTAGCTTTACACAATAAAGTAACACACCTCCAAAAATGATGGAAACATCCTTAATCAAACTGTATGTTTTCCTGTTTCGGTCATGTGTAGAAGTAAATGTGCATTGGTCTGAGTGCTAAGGAGCTTAACATGCATGTTACATTAACTAAAGGACATTTTCATTCTCATGAGAATTAGATTGCATCCGATTAAGAGATTCACTCTTAAGAAGTCAGACGTAATGTTTCATAAAGTGGGCAAGGTAAAGGTTATCAAACATGGCCATAAATAGCTGTGTAATGTTGGCACTGCTGGAGGACATTCCTAATGGAAGAATTTGAAGGCAGCCTGTGTTCAAAGATAATACTGACCTACTGGTTTGAATGCTCAGGGCAATCATTTAGGAGCACTGCATGAAACTTGCATCTCTGTTACAGTACTACTTATGTTTCACTATTTGCAACTGGAGCTTTTGAAAGGGAGCTGATTCAAAGGTTTTAACACGTATCTTTGGGCTGAGCCATGCAATTTATTTGTGACAGTCCCATCATAAACATTGCTCAGATATTGGTTGTTGGAAGTTGTTGGTTTGCTTTATTACACTATAAATGCTCACCATGGTGTGTAGAAAATGTCTCTCAATGCGTATAGCACTGTTTCACAACTCTCTTTTTTCTGTCTTATTAAACTGTTGCTATGGTTATTTGGACACGTGGTGGATGCCTATCAGCTATTTATACTTATAGTTTACACTGCATATTCATTTGTAGGTGAAGACTGGGCATTACAAGCAGTTTTTTTTCTGCTGAGACAAATGTCCTGCAAATTAGGACTTATAAAAGAAAGCCATGTGATATGTACGCAAGGTTTTATATGTCAGAATTTGTTTTAGTGTTATAAATTTAAATATTTGTTGCTCCCGCTGACTTAGTATGAAAAAAAGCACTCTTTTATGCATGAGTTCCGTGGACTTGTTAGGTTTACAATGTTTTCAACAGGAATGAAATTACCAAGAAGTATGAAGAGATCTATTGCGACTAGTTCTCTCTATCTCTTTATTAAATAGACTAAAATGAAATAAACGCATGATTGTACAATCTGCCATATTGAAAAAATGGTTGTTAATAAAACCTCAAAGGCAGGTCCAATAATCCTCCAACTAAACCATTAATTTGTTTGAGCAACAAGAAGTTCCCTTTTTTTGGGTTAAGTGTTGCAGTTCTGCTGTAGTACATAAATAAATGGTTACCCGTATTCATTTAAAAAAAAACATTCTACCTGTATTTGCATTTTATTATGTTCCCCATGAGATGTACTAGATAGATCTATTAATTGACTCAAAATTTAATCATAATCATAACAAAAGCCTTAGTATGTATATAAACTGTAGATGCCTGTGTAAATTTTCTGTCCTAATGGCAGCTAAAAACAAGCTTAAATTGGAAGGCAACCGGACTTTTGCACAGTTTTTTTTGGAGATGTTTTGACACCTATCTAGGAATCTTTGTCAACTCTGTTGGCTTGCACCGGAGCTAACTCTAGTTGGACTGGAGATGTATTTTAGCAGGATGGAGGAACATCCTCCTGCACACATTCCAAGTAAGATGTTAATCAAATAGCCACCCTTTGTTGTTCTGGATTGTTGGAGCACTTTGTTGTGCATTGGATTTGTATTTTGACTCATTGTCGAAGTGCTTAGGTAACCTCTTGGGAATGAATTCCATGACTGATTTGTAAATGCTTGGAAGCTGAAACCACAATACTGCCCCTCTGTTAAGTGATGGCTTTTCTCTTTTCACAAAGATGGCTTCCTTGAAAGCTCTTTTAAACCATCTGCCCTGTCCAAGATCTGAACACTTTGGTCTTCAAGGGAGACACATTTGAAGACCAAAGTGTTCAGATTTTGGACAGGGAGAACAGATGATTTGAAAGGGGCGTCAAAAAAATAATCAATGTCAGCATTTAAAAGTTATGTGCTAATTCTAAGCACATATCTCAATTAAATAGATAACTAAATACTGTGCAAAAGTCTTGCCTACATGCAACCTGTTCATCAGGATTTTATCTACTTCAGGGTTGTACCTTACATCTCATTTACATATTCCATGCCTGAATGTTATGGATGTACAGCCATAATTCTGATTTTGATCCTAACCACAAGTTGAGTTTCATAGAAGTTGTTCTGTCAAGGTGATACTTTATTGTATCTCTTACACTATATCCGTTGGTTGTGTTGTTCTTTTTACATCTCTTTGCAGGTGATGAAGCAGACTAAAGATGTTTTATCGTTATCTTCCTTTTATCACCCCTTTTATATCCTCTTTCTTTCATCTTCTTTGTTTCTGTTTTCCCTTTCCTCTTCCACTTACGTTGTAGTGTCCATAAAATCTGTAATACTCCCTGCATAATTATAATAAAGCTGTTTATATGCATAAGTCATACGGAACACTATGGCAATACCAGTACAACCCCACTTGTGAAAGCAAAATCTGCTGGGCTCTCTTTTTGGCATCAAGACAATTATTCTTATTGGCTTGTATCAACTATGTTCTCTACTTCCAAACTTAGCGTCTCTTCATCCATCCATAAGAAGTTTCCTTTTGAAGTTGTGAGATGCAGTATTGGAAGTTTTGACTGGATTTGATTAAACTTTTAAGCCTCTCTGTATAAAATAAATATTTTGATTGAGATGAGAAATCTGCTTCCTGGTATGTTGA